TAGGCACAATTCTCCAATCCCCGTCGATAGGTTTGAAAATAAGATTAGGCATATTAAACAGTTCATGCATGGTGGGTTGCAATTTTGAAAAGGGATTGCAAGCGAGAGAAAAAAGATTGTCCTCAGTCAACAATTTTGAGTAGGGATTAGAAGAAGTAAAGGGGGAGCTGACAAGCAGGTGGCAAAACCGACGAGAGAAGAGGAGTTTAAATTATCTCAACGTGCGAAAGTTAGACATATTCAAGACGGGGATAATAATACTAATCATTTTCGGTTGGTGGCCAATGAAAACCATTATAAGAACAAAAAGTTTCCAGTTACTTCACTGGACGCGCTGCCACGGTAGTAAGAGGACGAAGTCTTCGGATGCATTTTTAATTTGTTATTAGTCTGTTTTTAGACTTATTTTGCGTAAAAGAACTCATAATATATGTTCATGTTGCCTTTTGAAAAATGAGATTGTGTGAAACCGAAGAAAACTATGTTTGTCTTATTCATAATTGTGTGTCCATCACACATATAGGCTACTACCAGCAGTAGCGCGTGGTGGCAGGAGACCGGCCGTTCATTTTTATTTTATTCTTACACGAAGCTACTGCAGTCTGCAGCAGGGCAGGAGAGGACACTCGACGACGGCGTTGATCGCGTGATCAATGGGCGTGCTAGTTCCCGCCGGCGGCGACAGCCTTGGGCGTGCACGCGGGCGGGAAGGGTCCAAAGTAGCTGTCGATGCAGACGCGGCGGGAAGGGCGCGACCTGGACGGCAGGCATGTCTTGCAGGTTGGGGAACATTTGTCGACCTCGTCGAGGCATTGACACGTCGGCGGGTTTGACCTGGTGCCCCGGGGCAGGTCGCAGCACTCCCACGGCCTGCAGATGGGCCCCGGGTCGCCGACGTACTGGTCCTGGCAGACGAGGCGGGACGGGTCAGCCATGGACGGCCCGCAGGACTTGCAGGTGGAGGGGCACTCGAAGAGCTCGTCCATGCAGCGGCAGATCGGCGGGATGGATCTGGTGCAGAAGGCCTTGTCGCAGCACTTCCACGGCCTCTTCTTGGCCGCCGCCATGGCTGCTTCGTCTGCAACTGCAAGCCCTCAGTTAATCAGTTTCTTCATGGACGCATGATGAAGCCATGAACTAGCTAGACAAGAAAGGAGTTGACGCACGCGTACCTTGGCCTTTGCTCGGCAGGAGAATGGCGCCCACGTCGCCGGCGACGAGGAGGGCTGCCGACTGCAGTGCTAGCATCAGCAGGATGCTAGGAACGATGCATCTCTTCTTCGTCCCCATGGCGTGCTTTATTGAGCTTGCTTGTGCGTTTGTAGCTAGCAGCCAGACGTAGTATATGTAGCCTCGTGACACCGATGGATGACCCAACGCGTGGAAATCGCTACCAATGCAACGAGCAGACTAGAATACGCACACACATGGCAGCTCTCTATCACATAATGCGTGGATAAGGACTGGAGTAGATTCCAAGGCATATGCGTGGATGATGACTAGACAGATTGACAAAGGGCCGTGCATGCATGCATGCACGAGATCACTTTCTCCCGTTGATTGCACAGCAAGCATGGGTAGGCTGACACTGAACTGCACATGCACATGACGACGAAATCGAATGAATCAAAAGCAATTAATCCCGCGGGCCCAACCTCCCCCACCTACCCATCCATGGCAGATGCTCGACACGTGGGAGCGCATCCAGTCCTCCATTCCCACCCATGGGGGCACCGCGGAGATATAAAATCCACTCATCGCCCGGTGCTTGACCTAGAAATCGCATTTGCCCACTTCTGGGCCGCGGCAAAAAACCCTACATCTAATCCGCCATTTGATTTTGGGTGGTGGGAGGAGATCCTCGTTCGTTCGTGGCGGTAGCTGCCTCTCCTTCCATGGTGGCGGACGCGGGGCACGGCTACCGTGGAGAGCGACGCGGGCCGTGCGCGGCGTGGGGCGGGGCGGAACTCTGGCCGCAGGAACGGCCGCGGTGGGACAAGAGTAAGTACTCCTGGAATCGCGGCGACACCATCTCTACCTTGTCCAACATCGTATCGGCATCGGGTGACACGTCGCGCTAGGAGGTGGCGGTGGTGCCGAGAGGTCGCGAGCCTCAAGACGGGGGCGTTTGGGTGGAGAAGAAGCAGACAGCGGCGGATTCGGGAGGGCACGGGGAGCGGCAACAAACCTACTCACCACCCCGTCGATCACACGGGAAGCAGAACATCGCTCAGGTGCCTCCTGCCCAAAAAAAACCGATCCATGCCCCATATGCAAATCACACGAGCACCCTCCTCCTCGGTGCCCTCGGGCTTTCTATGAGTGCTGTAACAAATTAGGGCATCTTGTATCTGTGTGTACTGTGTTTCTTCCTATGGAGTGCATTGCCCCGATGTGCGCATTTCAGTCTAAGGGCCAGGGATTTTATTACATTCATGACTCCTGCATTGCTAATCAGCTTGAGGAATGGTCTAATAACATTGTAGTTACCATTGTTGAGGGGGAAACCTCAACTCGTCAAATGGAGCTGGATCTTTCAGATTACCCTGCTACTGATTGGTGTTGTTCGACTCATGCTATCGGTCCTGGTGTGTTTGTGGTTCATTTCCCTAATCCTCGAGTTGTTGCTCAATGTTGGTTCGGCGAGGGGGGCAATCAACACAGAGAGCAAGGGCAACGAGGAGCGCCACGGTTTTTACCCAGGTTAGGGCCGCTAAGAAGCGTAAAACCCTACACCTGCTTTAGTGTATTGGGTGAAGGTGGAAGAAAGCACATGGAGCGCTCTCCCCCGACAAGTAGCTAGGAGAGAGCAGCTGCACGAATACCTATGCGTATGGTTGGAAAGGGTTAGTTATGTGGGAAGAGTTACATTAAAAACAAGTGGTGTAGTGATCCATGCTACCCCTTGGTCCTCTGCGGTGGGATCGAAGGGAGTGATGGAAATTGCTTGGGTCAAAGTAAGCAATGTCTCTTTGGACAAGAGGAGTGAAAGAAACATTGCTTATATAACTTCGTTGGTGGGAGTTCCCCTTGAAATCGATGCGGCAACCTTACATCGCCCTGCATCCGCTCGTGTTAAGACGGGGCGCAGAAATGTAGATGAAATCCCTGGGGTTGCTGAAGTAGTCCCTGGTTGACATTTTTATGACTTTCATTATGAGGTGACTCATGTGCTGGTGTGAGATCCTGGTCGAGAACAGAAAGCAATTCATGTATCATCTCTGTCTGATGGGAAAAATCTTAAGGGAGGAATGCCATATATGACTCCTGGAGCTAACTCGGACAGCTCTTCGACTGGGCTTGGGGAGAAATCTCTTCCCATTCCCCATGAAGAAGAGCGTGAGCCGATTCAGGAGTCGCAGAAGAGTGTGGAATCTGATAATTCTCTCCATACTACTCTTACCATTGATACCATGGCCTGTGGGCAAATTACATATGAAGAAAAAGTAAGTACGCCTCTTCCAAAAAGCTATATGACCAAGGATTCTTCTAGTAAAAGTAGAATGAAATCCTATTCTGATGTTGTGAAGACCTCTCCTCAGGTTATGGAAGTGGTGGGACCACATGACTCTGCGCTTAAGGTGCCTATGAGTATAGGGTGGAATCTCCGGAGATGAATGTTGAGATGATTCCTACCCCTCCTTTGGTCACTGAGGAAAATCTTTGCTTCAGCTTAAGGAATGTGCAGAGTAAACTGGAGAGAGTGGACGACAAGGCTATGGCTACGGCTAAGAAGAGATACATGGAATGTACCTCCAGAAACCTCAATTTATTTGATGCCTTGTCTGATCCTGTTCTCATTCTCAAAGCGGTTAAGATGGGTGTAGATATACCTGATACTGATTTTACAAGTATTGATATTTTGAGAGAACTTGAATTTTTTTAGGAATAATGACTTGTTAGATAATAAAATTGACAATAATTATCAAGATAATAACATTTTGTTGTTGACCAATGGTAAGGGTGACCAGACTCCTCTTGTGTAACGCCCGGATAATTAGGCTACAGTAAAACTCTCCTAATGATGCCATGTCATCTACGTTACTGTTGCTAATCAAGTGGCAGTTCAAAAACATTGCAAATTCAAAAATGAATTAGCGACAAACACCCAAAGTGTTCAACAGTCGAAACAAAAATGTTCGGGGGTTGCCAAATATTGCATCGGTAATTATGGTGAAGTAAACACATTTTTTATAAAATGCCTAAATACTTTTAAATGAATTTAAAAAGAAAGGAAATAATAAGGAAAATATGAAAGGGAAAAACAATCAGAAGAGAAAAAAAAAGAACAACCCCCCCACTGGGCCGACTGGTCCAGCTGGCCACCAACCCACCTGCGCAGCCACAGCCCCTGCCTCCTGGACCGCAACCAGCCTGGTCGGCCCAGCCGGCCCAGCTCCCGCTCCCCGCACCGCACCCCCCTTCCTGTTCCTCGGACGCGCGCCGCTACAGGGCACGGTCGCCACCGG